CCCTAGCCCAAGTCGAAAGTTTGGTCTCTTAGGGTTTAATTTCTATAAACCCTAATCTTGATCTATTCAAATATTATGCAATTCAATTGAAAACATACGTTCTGATACTACTGATGGGTTTTATACATAACAAAAATCATATTTTAGGCTGAAAAATAAAACCCTAAGTTTGTATGCACCCTAAGGATCTAAGTTTTCACTATTGAATGCAATAATCAATTTGAATATCAAGAACCTTAGCCTTGCCCTACTATTTTCGAAATAAATAAAAGGGTAAAGAAAACATAGCTTCTGATTATGCTAGTAGATAATCAAAGTAGTATCCTTCTTGATATTGCTTGAAGCTAGCACCGCAAGTGTCGTGCCTCTAATGGTTCACACCCAACCCTAGAATCAATGAGGCTTTAAGAGAGAGGGGAGAGAGCTTCAAAATTTTGGCCTAAGGCTTCTTGGAAAGGAATAGTCTAAATTGTGAAGGTCAGGGAGGTCTTTATATAGCTGAAGGAAACTTGGGGCCAAAGCTAGGGTTTTAGGAGAAGGCATAGATTAATTAATATAATAATCAAGTTGCCTTATCTCCTCATCCCTTACCCCATGGACGAAAATTCTAGGCTTACCCTATCCAATTTTCGTCCACCTCATTCCATGAGGTTCTAGAGCCTTCCTGCTTCAACTTTCAATAAATAACCAAACAATCCCACCTACCAATGCTTGAGTTGGTGTTCAATTTATGATGTAGGGTACATGAAGAATTGCTTCATCCCAAAATTGGTTAGGAATATCATTTGCTTTCATTAGGCACCGCGTCATCTCGAGTAGAGTCTTATTTCTCCATTCAACATTTCTATTTTGTTGAGGTAGATAGGGATCCATCAACATTCATGTTATCTCTTCTTCATCACAAAAACGGTTCAACTCATGCGATGTGAATTCTCCACCTCTATCCGTATGGAATGTATTGATCTCTTTCTCGGTTTGTTTTTCAATTGAGGCCTTGAATTTTTTTAATAATTCTGGATGCATCGCTTTTGTGCTTCAAGAGAAAAGACCACATATATCTAGTATAATCATCAATAAGTACTAAAATATAAATGTTACTTGCTTGGGTAGGGGGATCAACCGGTCCACAAATATCTCCATGTACCATCTCGAGGATATTTGTAGCTCTAAACGTAGCTTTCTTTGAAAATGATTGTTTCGTTTTCTTTCCAACTATGCATGATTCCCGAATTTGGTCTTGATGTTAGATTATCGGTACCCCTTTAGTTAGTTTGTGCATCAAGTTTATCGCGCCAAAATTAATGTGGCCAAGTCGTGCGTGTTGTAACCAAGATTCTTCATTGGATTTGGCTTGCAAGCAATGTGGTTTACCAACTTTTAAACGAATCTTGTAAAGACGATTTGCACTTCTTGGTAATTTCATTAGTAATCTTCCATTTCCATCTCGCATAGTTAACAAATCACCTCGCATTTGAATATCACACCCAAATATAGTAGATTGTCCAAGACTTATGACATTACTACGAATAGATAGAATGTAATAAATATCTTTCATCAGTTTTTTCTCACCGTTTTTGCCTTCGAATAAAATTGATCATTTTCCTTTGATGCTAACACATGACCCATCTCCAAATCTCACCCTTCCCGTTTCGTTCTTATTTAATTCAGAAAAAATAAGAGTAGTTGTCGGTCATGTGATTATTCGCACCATTGTCTAAGTACCAAATTCCGTCTTCATCGGTGTTGGACTCGATCTTAGGAGGGATGTATTTTTCTTCGTTCAGGAACACCGTTTCTTGAATTGTATTCATCATAAAGAACGTCCATGTTTGATCCTCTTCAGAGGTTTGTAAGTGACCGACCACGTCTTCAAAACCTATCGTTTTGAGGTCTAAAATTTGTTCAAGAGCTGCTACAATATGAACAGATCGCCTAGGGAGGCTCTTAAGAAACTTCTTCGCAAATTTCTCTTCAGTAATTACCTCTCCTAGTGAAACAGTTTTCGAATCAATTCCAGATAATTTTGCAACGAAATCGTCTATCGTACTGGTATTACTCATCTTAAGGTTCTCGAATTCAGTTATTAGAGTTTGGAGTCCGGCTTCCTTTACTTAATCAGCTCCAAGGTTGCATGTTTTAAACGCTTCCCCCATCTCCTCGTCGGTTCGTTGGTTCCTGATTTAATCGTGAAAGGTTTGTTGTTTCAATCAACATCGTGAAAGGTTTGTTGTTTCAATCAATACCAGAAGATTTAATGGTCGACCACATCCCAGACGCCATGAATTCTGAGTAGCACCTCCATGCACATCCTCCAGATGGTATAATTTCTATTCGTAAGGGTTGGGCATTGAAACGTTAGTGAAGATGATTCCTTCACCGGTGGTTGCAAAGCTTTTCCTGTCGTCATCGCCGATCGATTACTGTTCCTACCTAAGCTCTCAAGTTGTTGATTTTGCTTAGCTCTTCAAGTTGCCGATCGAGAATTCTCAGAGCCTTAATCTCACTCGGGGTGTATGATCCTACTGCTTTCGATTAATCCAAGCCAACAAAATCCACTACACGAACAGGAAAACTAGTGGTTCACTGTTCCTATTTGGTTTTCTGCTCAGGTTCTCCACACGAACTCTCTTTTTGATTTTGAACAGGAGGACTCTATCTCTTCGGTCGCAAGTTCACCTTCTGCCTAAGCTCTGATACCAAATCAAGTTAACGGAATTGTATATGTTGGAAGAACACAAACAAAATTGCCTCAACACGCATAAATTTTATTGAAGTAAAAATAACTCAAAACTCCAGTCTAAATATTGATTACAAGATCCTAAACATCTATATATACTCATCAAACATATCAGAATATAACTAGGAAACCTAAAGGTAATCAAATAAAACTTTCCTTATAAAGCATCCCTTATTTCTCAAGGAAAACTCGAAAACCTTGGACAACACTCTAAGCACTCTTTGGTCTGGACCAGAACACGCCAACTAGCCACATCTGTCTCAGATAATTTGCCAACAGAAATGTCTTACAGTTTTGAAAAATGAACGAAAGAGATGATGGTCACCACCTCTGAACATTTGACACTCAAACGGCAGTTGGCTTTTGAGACAAGGTCTTAAGAAATTGAAACCGAGTCCCCATGATTGGCGAACTGAGAACCACACTATCTAAAAATCCAACTCTGAACTTTTGACATGAAATGGCATGCTACCAATAGGTGGACCTCTTCTTCTACACTGCTATCGCATATAGGGCCAACAAAAACACGAGAAGAATGCCTCTATGCATGAGGTTTGCCACTTGAATTTTCCAAACCAAAATGTTTACTTTTGATCGGACTCAATTATTCCATTTCGACGACCCCTCGTCCGAGCTGAGAATCATTTTCTCAATCAGAGGCCTTAAAAGATCTAGTTGAGAACTTACCCAAAATGCTAGGTTAGATATGGGACATCGTAGGAAGAAAGGGGTTACGGATAAGAACACTTAAGCTAGAATATTTATTGTAGAATTTTAGTGGCAGTGAAATGGTGCAGGAGTAGACATTTTGTATCGGTGAGTAAGTCTTGCACCTAAATCAGAGTTTCAGGTTCATGATGAAAGGGGTGTTGAGGTTGTCGTTACCTAATAAAGACATGATGGTTGACATGGAGGGCGGTTGTATGGATAATTATGTTAGCTGACTAAGGAACATAAAAGAAAAGTGGAGGTCGTGAAAATGATAGAACATTGTTGAATAGGATGTCGAAGACGGAAAAAAGAATTCCGCTAGATCATCGAGACATTGGGGGAAGGAAGGTTGTAGTTCAAACAATGTCACAAGAGAACACTTACGGTTGCGGTTACGATGGTGGAGGCACTCATTGTGGATTGTAAGAGGAGATGACACTGAAGAAGGACATGCCAAGATAGCATAAGGTTAGTTAGACTCGAAGGAGTTGTCATTGTATTTAATAGCAAAGCATGAAGGCTTAAAATTAGGTTGGTTGAAGTATCTTCTTTCTGTAGTTATGTTTGTCGTATAGTCGTTAATGTCTTACTCTTTTCCCCTCGTTACTTTTAGCTTTCATTGGTAATACCTACTTCCTGCTTTTTCACTATATGTGTTTCCTCTCTTTACTTTTAGCTTTCATTGGTAATACCTACCTCCTGCTTTTTCATTGGTATAGTCGATAATGTCTTACTCTTTTCCCCTCTTTACTTTTTAGCTTTCATTGGTAATACTATTTTCTACTTTTTCACTATGTGTTTCCGTATAGAATCTCTATATTGTCTTTTTATTCTTGTCCACTCTTTACTTTCAGCTTTTTACTAATATATGTTATTTTAGTTTTTATTTTTTTATCGCGCAAAATTCATTATCCACTATTACATACTAATATTTCACATGCATGACATCTAGTACCCTCATAGTCACGGTCTACATTCTGCATTCTCATAGGACTTCAATATTGTTGTATTTTTGGTGCCCTATGTGATCAAACACCCATTGGGCCAAGCCTGAGGTTCAAGTCATTCATTAGCTTATAGGTAGTTATAAGTATTTAGAACATCCACAAAGCGTCTAGTTATCATTCAATTTAATAGATAAAACGTTACCATTGTTAGATATCATCATGACATTCATTGATCTGGAATTCAATAGGAAAAAAAATAGTTCTTTTAACTTTTTAATAGATCTTTAAAATATGTTCCATTGAACTTGATAGATTTCAATATATTTTGGAAATGAATAAATTTAATAGTTATATTGAATAGTAAATAATGTTGTGTCAATCAATTGAACTTTTTTGAATGCCCTCAGCAGCACGTGGTGGTTTTAACTTATTAGCTCAAGGAAGGTGTTCAAAGATTGTCTCAACTTGTTCAGCTCCTGGGAACAATTATTCCATGATGTTCAAGATATACATATACAAACGTGATCAAATTCTCATTCACTTGCGAGAGATCAATTTATCAAGTCCTTAGAGATTTATGTTCTTATGTAATTGATCGTGTCAATGGTTTCACACCATTAAGAAGAAAACAAAAGCATTAGAAACACTAGTTAAACTACATTACAAAATCAACAATTTCTACAAAGTAATTAAAAATCTCAAATCAGAATTATCCTTAGGGGGTATATCTATATATGTACATAGTGGTGTAGTGTAGTGTAGTGTCAATCAGTATATGACTACCTTTCTTTCTTACTTGTAGTCGTAGGGGGATTAGACTTGTTCCTTCAAGCTCATAGCCGACTCTTTCTGTACCTGTCCCAAAGACCAATAACATCCATCCCATATTTTATATACAGCCTCACATGTCTATTTCGGTAATTTCATACTTAAAAAAAATGTTAATTACATTATAAATCATGAGAGACGTCTACCATCAAACTAATACGCTTAGCAGTGTCTGAACGCATCAACTCTCCTTTAAATAGCATCTGTAAAACCAAAAAAAAAAAAAAAAAATACAAGATTTTTATTAATTAAATAATTATGAGAACAGAATAATCATTAATCATTAATCATTAATCACCTCTGTTGGCATATCAGGTGAGAACCAACGTAACAATACTCCAAGATGAACAACCGCCGGAATCAGCTTAAAAAGAAACGGCGTCGTTACCTGCACAATCAAAAAAAAATCGTAAAGACACGAGGGCAATTTCGTCATTTCACCAACTCTCTACAATTTACATACCAGGCTGAGAGCCGTTGTACCAAGAAGCAGTAGATACAATTTTCCCTACAAGAAAAGGGAATCGTTAACAACCGAATATGATTAGGGGCAAATTTGTAATATTACCTCAATTAGATGAAGATTAGACGCCCGGCTTAAGAGAACAAAAGCAAATTCACCAATTTGCGCAAGTGACATTCCAACCTACATTAATTAATTTTTTTTAGCTTCTTAAAATAAAAAAATAAAAAAATTTAAAAACACACACACACACACACACACAGACACACAAGGGCTTACAAGAAGGGCGGTTTTGTTGGTGTAACCGAATCCTTTGACTACAGTGGCGACTACAAAAGTTTTGATAACAACCACCAGAATGACAGCTGCTAATAATATGTCAATGTGGTTCCAGAGAAACTGGACATGAATAAGCATCCCGATGCTTGCAAGAAAAAGGGCAGCAAAGAAATTGCGGATTGGTTCTACCTGAAATAAATTAAATAATATTTAAATATATTTTTTAAGAAATAGAAAGTCGGAATTTTGAGTTGAAGTTTACTTGTTCGAGAGTATGTTGGGCGAGATCAGTTGTTGAAATCATGACTCCAGCAGCAAAGCTACCAAGTTCAAGGCTTAAACCTAACTTGTCACTACACTGATCCAATCATACAATAACTTACTGTAAATAAATAATACTATTATATAAATAAAGAAAAGTAAGAGTAAGTTACATTTTTGGTCCTTGAGTATAGTCGGTTTTTGCAATTTTGGTCCTTAAAAGTTCTCTTATCAACTTTTGGGATCAAAAGCGAAAATCAGCTATACTCGGGGACCAAAATTGCAAAAACGAACTACACTTTGGGATCAAAAATGTTATTGAGTAAATAGCAATGAAGCTAACCGATGCAACTATCAAGCAGAAAGCCACGGATGCCAACTGATAAAGTTCATTTGTCTGCACATTTTGTGAATGATATAATATTATATATTATAATGAATGAATAAAATAAAGAAAATTTTGAATATTTTAGGGATTAAATTAAAGAGAAATGTGAGTACCTGGGATGATAGGCTTATCATAAGATTAAGAAACCAAGGTATACAAGTGCGTGATAATATTGATAGGACAGCCAAGAACGTGATTAAAGTCACCAACCTGATAACAACAAAAGTTGTTACAAAGTTTAGAGTAAATTACATTTTTGGTCCCTGAGTATAGCTGGTTTTTGCAATTTTGGTACCAAAAAGTTTTCTCTAGCAATTTTGATACCCATTTGAGGTTCTTGTATAGTTTTTGGTCCATGAGTATACCTGATTTTTGCAATTTTGGTACAAAAAATAGTAATTTTACTCAGAAAAGGGACCAAAAACCACAAATAAGGACCAAATTATAAGAGAAAACTATTTGGGATCAAAGTGTAAAAATCAGCTATAATCAGGGGCTGAAAATGTAATTTGCTGCAAAGTTTAATCTGTTTTAAATGTGAGTAATTTAGGACGCTATATAGTGCATGAATATCCATGGTATATGTGGTATATATGACTTTAGTACAGTTTTGCATGTAAAGAATTGAGTGAAATACAAAAATGGTCCCCGTGGTATATTGAAAATTACAGATTCAGTCCAACTTCGGATTTTGTTACATGGGTCGTTCTTGTGGTTTCATTTTGTTGAGGTTTTAGTCCCCTCCAACTAACACCGTTAGATATCAAAAGTAAAAATGAGGGCAAAATCGTCATTTGACATGGGTTTACCATTTGATTTCTATCTACTGAAAGACCAAAACCACAACAAAATGAAACCACGAGGACGAACCATGTAACAAAATCCAAAACTGAACTGAACCTATAATTTCCACTACACACCAGATACCATATTTTTAATTTAGTGTATAATAGAATTTATTTTTTTTCAATATATTGGTAAGAGGAGTTATTCACTTACGTTTTTGTCATAGATAACATGCCTTCAAGAATTCCAGAAGTACCCCCAAGGATTGGAAGCAGTGCAAATAATAAACCAACAGCACAATCCTAGCAAAAAAAATAAAATGTCTATTATTCTCAAGAATTGCTTTAACAATAAATGTTGGAAAATAAAAAACAAAAAAAAATACCTGTAAAATGAGGGTGCCAACAGTGACTTGTCCATAAAGAGTGCTAATACTATTTTTTTCCATCAAAAACTTTAACACCTGTTGTATATCAAGAAAATGGTATAATGGTAATAAAAAATTAAAAAATAATGACTTGAATAAATTAATTATGTGTTATATATAAATATTATTACCACTGCTGTTGATGACATGGAAAGGAAGGCACCAACAAATACACCTTCAGAAGCTTCACCTCCACATAACTGCAAATGAAATCAAGTGCATAAAGACATGTAAGTATTTTGCTTTTATATATAGGGAATCATAAGTATGTTGCTATGATGTGTAAAAAAAGTAAGTATGTTGGTATTATAGTTAAAAGATTTTAGTATTGTTATCAAAATGGGTGAAGAAATTTAAATATATTGCTATATAACAGGTAAAAAAATAAAGTACATTGACAATATTGGTAAAAATAGTAAAGTACATTGCTATTTCCTGCAATGTCCTACATCAAATAAATGACTTGAAAATTTAATAAAAAACAATAGAAACTCGATAAAATAGATACATACCACAGCAATTACTCCAGACAAGCACATAAAAAGAAATATCTGGAGTAGACCTCCTAAAACAGCAACTGCTCGAACAACACGTAGCTGCAATTATGTAACAGTGACAGATTAAGTGTGTGTAAATGTGTGTGTGTGGGTGGGGGTGGGGTGGGGGGTGGGGGGAGGGTGGGGTGGGGGGTGGGGGGAGGGTACCTTAGCTGATGAAAACTCCAGGCCCAATGCAAAAAGAAGAAAAATGACACCAAACTGAGCAACTGTCTCGACCTGCATGAAAATGATATTAAAATTCCCATGAGGGAAAAATGGTCATGTAACTTACAAAAATCATGAAGGGTATTTTTGTCCGAGTGGAAAGTGAATAGAAAGATGAAGTGACACACCTGAACCAGTTCACTAACAAAGCTAAGTCCCCCAGGTCCAATCACAGATCCAGCTAGCAAATAGCCTGTAATAACCTGTATGAGGACATATGTTAGAATTATAAAAGAGGGTTCTTGAGTTCTTCTATGTTTAATGCTTAAAAAATAACATAACCCCATTAATAAATTCACCAAAGTGTAAGGAATTGTTATATTTTTTTTAAATAAAAAGAGTAATTGAGAAAGCATTAATAACGATTAATGACCAGACCGGCTGCCCAGCACAAGCAAATGCAATGCCACCACAAGTTGCAGAGACAATGACAACCACCAAATCAGATATCAATCTGCAAAAAAGTAACAAAAATAGACATTAGCAGATTAGCTACAAAATATATAAAAAAAATCTTACATGTAGAGACAAAAACAAGAATCATTGTTTTATTGAGTGGGAAAGAAAAACATACCTTAGGTCTAATTGTAGGACAGGGTACTTAGACTTGGGATTGGACATGATAAAGACATTGTCCTGAGCAAAGATTTCCACAGATACAAATTACAAAATCAACTTCTCTATATTGAAATTGGATTGAATATAAAAGTGAAACTTGGAAGCATAAAATTACCTTGCTATCTATTAGTCTTGGTGTATCTTCAGGACGATTTTCATTATCCAAATTGAAAACATCATGAAGCTGAAATGACCTAAATAACAAGTGATATAAAGGTCAGGTATATTAGATTATTGACTTCCATTTGTTCTCATGATCTCTCATCCAAATTGAACATAACCTATCATAAGACTATAAGAGGTACATGTATTACAATTGTGCACTCTGTTTTTGTGTAAAGAAAAAAGTATATACAAACAGTGGGACATACTTATCCTCTTTGGTGTCATTTCTCTTCGACTTGACTCTAGCAACAGTTTCCAGAACTGCCTGACATGTGAAGCGTGTCAGAAATAATGATAAAAACCACTACTTGACTCTGTTCCTAGGAAAAGGAATTCTATAAATATTGTGCAAAACGAAGTGCTTTTGAAGTAGATAGAATTTTTTTACTCCTTTCTCAACATCATCTTTCTATTTGTACATTTGAACTTGCAAAGTAACCCATTTCACAGGTCAAACCTTTTTCAGAAACCAATGAAGAACAGCTAATTAAGTGCATAACAGGAATACTGACCAAACTAATAAATGATGGAATCATAATACATGTGGGGCAACTCCTAATAATAATCTAAATTAAGGTCATACCTTGACGTTCATATACATTAATGTATGGGTCATTCAATGTTAAATAAATATCCAAGGGGTTTCTAGACTCTAATACATGTAAAGGTTTAAGCTGACTGACAGTTGGGATTGGTAGCCTCCAGGCTCCAGCATTAATGATCTCTTTTAAACCCTAGAAACACTGGTGTCATTTTAGACATTGATGTTGATATAAACGGTCACAATGTCAGACCTAAGGTTATCTTTAGAAATAATAGATATTAGAATGATAATTGATGGTCCAGAAAAAACCATGTTGTGGAATTTGATGCGCTAGATTTGATTGGCTATCGGTTAGCCAACAAGGTAGAAACTTACATGACGAACTCCAAATCATAAGATCGTATCACTAACCTGTTGCCCTGCCACACTATTATTGAAGCTCCCAGGATCAGTACCTGAGCCAGATAGAGAGAAAGAAAACAGTTACGAGCTTTGCATAGTTACGTTTCATCAACGCATAGCACAAATTTTCAATTAAGACTTCACATTTCAAATGATTCGCACACGTACTTCCTAGTATAACTAAGCAAATAACATGAATTCGAAATGTACCTAAATGCCTGCCCTAAATAGCTCAAATTTTTAAAACGTCTGATTCTCTACAGTGTTGAACTAAATCAGAAAAAACGATCAACTAAACCTAGCAGTAATAGCAGAATTTTAGAACAACAAGAAAATTCGAGATCTAACTAACCATCGGACTGTTCATCATTCTCGGGAAACTCCTTTTCAAGAGCACGATCAAGCATGCCAGCAAAGCTGTCTTCCTTAGATCTATTTGATCCAGTAGCAGTGACATTGACGACGCTAGCCTCTTCGTTGAAAATAAACGAATCTTCGGCGGCAAGTAAACATATAAAACAGAGAAGATCGACAAGGAGGAAGAGGAAGAAAAGACGGAGAAGTGATTTTCGCAACATTGTGATGTTGTAGAGAGAGATGATAAAGTCAGCGAGAAGACTATAGTGATGAAATGGAAGAGTCACCGGCGGCGGAGAGGAGAGAGTAGTTACAGGGGAAGGGCGGAGTGTGGCGGAGTGGGAAGTACAGAAAGGGACTTCAGTGCTTCTGGCGTGCAGCGGTGGATCGGGGTGAAGTGTTTCCTATGCCACCACTGCTTCTCAATTGACGCAAAGGGTTGGCCCCTCTTGTAGGTAAAAGCTTTTGGGATAATAGACAAGGGACAAGGCTAAAAACTTACAAAAAGTTCCAAATACTTCATCAAAATTATTAAATTATTAAACTTATATTAATTATAAAGTTATTCACTAAAATAAAAACATATGTAACTAAAATAAACACATATTATTCATAAAGTCATATTAAAAAAACTAAAACAAAATAGACATTTATACCATAAATTCGTGGTTTCATATACAAAGAACATATTATCCTTATTATTCACAAAGTGATATCATAGAACCTAAAACAAAATGGACATTTATAGCATAAATTCATGGTTTTCAAACACCTAGAACATGAATATTTGGCCATGAATTCAAAATCACATTTCCAATTATGAATTCAAACATTTTACATCGTCCGTTTTCAACGTCAACACGAATACACCATAGAATTATTACGAACAAAGTTTTTTCTAATATTGTGGAAAGACATAATGTCACAACAACCAAGTATTCACTTGTTAATTTAAATGTTTTTGAATTCATAGATTCCACTCTCATATACACAACTCGAGAAGAAACCATTGACTTCGGATTCTGTTTTCCACTTTGTTGTCGCGAAGAATGGTTGTTTTCATATCATGTTGTGTTTTAAATGTAACTCATGAAGATAATCATCATTCCCATGTGGTTGGTTAACTGTAGTGTTTTATCAGTCACAACAATCCATTTCGTTACCTTCATCTGCATAATAATAATCAGAAGTAACATTGTTGGTGATCGAACGAAGTAATGTTGTGGACAACACACAACACTGCATCAGACTTAATTTCTCAATGTAGTGATTTGTGAGGTGATGTGCGTAAACAAAATGAAATGTGCAATGTCACCAATTTACCATCATTAATAGAATTTGAAGTGGCATGCATGGAGGTTAAAAAATGCAATATTGTTGGCAATATTGCATCATACTTTATTTCTCGATTTAAGTGTTTGTACTTTAGAAATCCCCATATCGGTATCGACACTCATGGACCTTCGATGACTTGTCTTTAGTAGCATGTCATGGGTCTTGATTACCATGAATTTGTTGGATTAGTGTCTAAGTCCATAACTATTTTGGTATGTACTTGACCCGATGGTGCATGGTCCTTTTGGGTTGCCTTCACCAAAGCAACTTGATAGGATGAATTATGGAGAGAAAATGATTAATTATGATTTATTAATATATTATATTAAAGGAGAAATCATATTGTTTAATTAATATTAGTCAATAATTAATTAAGAATTAATTTTGTGGCTAAAAGAGATTAATTAAACTTAGAGGACTGGAATTGTAATTATAAGATAATTGCAATTGGGCTATGGATCACCTTGGAATATAGGTTGGACGAAATCTATGGGAAGCCCATATGATTTTCGTCCAAGGCATGTTCCAGAAGGGGTCCATGGGCTGCTTAGGGCTTAAGCAGTCAAATTAGGGTTTCCTTGTTAGATAACCCTAATTGCCTACCTACTTAAAGCCCTTTGAGACCCAAAAACGTGGCTAACCTTTTCAAGAGGGTTTCTGGACGTTTTTGTAGTTCTCATTCTCTTCTCCTTCTTCATCCTCTTGCTCTTGGTGTTTGTGAGCCATTAGAGGAGTGACATTTGTGACTCTAAGCTTTTCAGAAGCCAATTACTACAAGGAATAGATTGTTATTGTTATATAACAATCAAGGTAAGATCTAAACCCTATTATTATGTTTATATTGATTATCACATGTTAGATCTAGGGTTTATGGCTTTGGATGATTATTGCATGTTCATTAGACAAACTAGATCCAAAGCTTTAGGGTTTGCTTGCACACCATAGGAATGTGTAGTGCTCAAAACCCATCAGAATTTAACTAACAAGTTTACACAGTTGAAGTCATGTGTATTTTGCCTCCACATTTAGAGGTATGGATTACATTGACCTGGATTGCCATGAACTTAAATCGTAGTCACACGAGACTAGTATGATTTAAGCTTTTCAAGTTCTTAATAAGTTTGAGTGTCCCATATACTTGTACCGTTCTCGTTAATTTAAAATTTTTGTAACATTAATAAAAATGTCTACATTATGTAACATGTTTTTTATATTTTTTATAAGAAACTTTATAATAGTAAATATCATATTCTTTATTTCGATGACAAACTACAAATTGGTAATAAAATCTCCACTTTATGGGTTATTTATTTCATTCAAACGTAAGAAAACAACACGATGTCTGGTAATAAAATCTCCACTTTATGGGTTATTTACTTGAGAAACCATGCATTAATATATCTACTAGTAATATATACGGGCAACTAAGATGAGTATGTTCCTTTATGGAAATGGCTACATGTTTTCTCTTTTTTTTACTCTCCTTATGATGGTATAAAAGCAATGTTACGTGGCCCAATGGCTTGACGTTTTTCCATTAATGGTGGTCGAATTATCATCACTTCCTATGTCTCTCATTCGAAAAGACATGTAACAGGATTCATTATCACTTTATATGTTGACTGATATACTTTAGTAATAAAGCATGAGCAAGAAATTTACTACATTCTCGTATTATTTAAGCTTAACAACATTGTCAGATGACTATAAGGTAAGTTGGAACAGTGCCACTTTTTACAAGTATATGTATTGAGATGTATACATGTAACACTTTTTTATGATGGTCACATATTTCAAATAAGTAACGAAAAAAATCTTTGTTGGTAAACATATAAGTCTCCTATTTACTTTATCATATAATATATATATATATATATATATATATATATATATATATATATATATGCATTTGGTACAATTCCCTTTCAGTTTTGTTGCATGTAATGACAAAATCCTTTTATTCATACAAGTAAACCATATCATTCATGTATGTACATTTATATTTACCTCTACATTTAAAATACCATTGTTTGGGGAAAAAATCAACAACCATAATGATTGGTTATATTTGTGCATGTTTAGTTAATGTGCTCAAAGAATTGGCACTCTTGGACATCATTATATTATAATGTACCTTAGGAAAGTACGACCTTGTCTAATTCTCACATATAAGTTTGTCAAGTTGTTGACATGCTTGAGGTATAATACTTCGTAACATAACCATATGTTTATCAAAGTTTGATACCATATAATTTTTACATGTCTTCTAAAACATATATAAAGGCCTTATTCTTTTCTTGACTTCAATTCTAAATTCATGGACAAATAGTTGCAACATTATTTGTGATGTGCGTATGGTAATACCTTTTTAATGACAAGGTTAATGGAAGCAGCCTTATTGGAAACTATGACCAACACTTCAATGTCATTGATATATGTCATAAACTTCTATAAAATTATTCGGAGGTGTCCACACTCTATGTCTTCCCACTTTGAATGTTAAATGGATTATTTGGTTGTTTTACCAATAACAACCATAAGAAACATGGTGCATAAGTACTACCCCTTCAAAAAGGTAGTTTATATCATGATTAATGGGCACAAATATTCATTAAATGTAAGAATATATATATATATATATATATATATATATATATATATATATATATATATATATATATATATATATATATATAGGTTATAGTTATTGATATTAGAAAAAGTAACTAGAATGTCATGGTAATAATTATAGTTTGTCGCACAGCTAATGGAAACAAAGATAAGTTAGAATGAGTCTTGATCATCCATCTTAATATGGTTCATGGTACTTGAATTCTCCTTTCTCTATAAATGTTAGAATACTGAGAGTCTCGAAAATGAATCTGGCTATATACTATTCCATAATTCGAGTGCACGACACTTGGAAAGCCGATCTTGAGAGTAGGATATGTGAGATTTGAATCGATTTTCATATCTTAGATGATTTTATTTTCCTACTATATTTTGTTTTGTGCTCCCATATCGAATCTTTTAATATATTCCCTATTATTTCTTATTTTCTTAAAAGTGATTGGTAATATATACAGGCAACTAAGACGAGTATGTGCCATTATGGAAATGGCTACATGTTTTCTCTTTTTTTACTCTCCTTATGATGGTATACAAGCAATGTTACGTAGCTAAATGGCTTGACGTTTTTCCATTAATGGTGGTCGAATTATCATCACTTCCTAGGTCTCTCATTCGAAGAGATATGTAACATGATTCATTATCACTTTATATGTTGACTGATATACTTTAGTAATAAAACGTGAGCATAAAAATTTACTACATTCTCATAATATTTGATCTTAACAACATTGTCAGATGACTACAAGGTAAGTTGGAACAGTGTCACTTTTTACAAGTATATGTACTTAGATGTATATATGTGACACATTTTTATGATGGTCACATATTTCAAATAAGTGGTCTTCAAGATGAAAAAAAATCTTTGTTAGTGAACACATAAGTCTCCTCTTTACTTTATCATATATATGTATTTGGTATGATTCTCTTTCAGTTGTGTTGCATGTAATGACAAAATCCTTTTATTCATACAAGTAAACCATATCATTCATGTACGTACAACTATATTTACCTCTCATTTATCGGCATTTAAAATATCATTGCTTTTGGAAAAAATCAACAACCATAATGATTTGTTATATTTGTGTTTGTTTAGTCAATGTGCTCAAATAATTGTCACTCTTGGACATCATTATATTATAATGAACCTTATGAAAGTACGACATTGTCTAATTTTCACATATAAGTTTGTCAAGTTGTTGACATGCTTGAGGTATAAGACTTCGTAATATAACCATATGTTTATCAAAGTCTGATACCATATAATTTGTACATGTCTTCTGAAACATATATAAAGGCCTTATTCTTTTCTTGACTTCAATTCTAAATTCATGGACAAATAGTCGGAAATGCCAATGCAAATGGCAATCAGCAGCCTCAACCCCAAGTGATTGAGTAAGTGTCTGTAGTAGCAGCTGCACCTGAGCCAATCACAATGGTTGGAGTACAAGCCATGATTCAGGCTATGATGGCCGAACAGAGGGAAGAGATGAGGCAGATGTT